AGAATTGGAAAATGTTTGTGCTATTAATGTGTTGGGTCCATGCCAGTCAGAAAACCAACATGCCCAGATAAGATAATTCATAAATTCATGTACTGGCTAGAGGTGATCTCCAAGCTGCTTTAGGTAGAGCTCTAGGACATGATGCTAGATTTTTGAAGCTTCTCCTGGCTAAATCTACCATTAATGGCCCCGACAACAACAGAAGCTTGACGCTGAACCATCGAATTATACGGGTTTGCTGCCATTTGAAGCAAGTTGGCGGGCATGATTTTTACCCAACAACGACAATGATGTACTTTCCTAAAGCAGCATATTGTTGGTATAGGTATGTAGAATGTATGAATCATTTGATGAGTGAAATTATCAGGTCTTGGAATACTTATTTGTTAGGTGTGGAGGCACTCGGGATGAGTAATATTGATTTTCTTTCGTATTGGCAGCGTTATATATTACTTGTCGAGAAATACAGAATTTTTTTTTCGTACTTGTAAATTTTAAAAAAATATCGGTAAGTGTTTGAAATCGTTGGGTAAAAAAATGATGGTGACTTTTTTTCCAGTTAATTTGTTGGTAATTTAGCAACACTTTTTATGAAAAAACCAATTTTTTTTAATAGTTTACAAATTGTCAATTTTTATTCTAACTTACTAACTTTTATTTGCATAACTTTTAATGCTTTGACTTTACTAACTCCTATATGAATAAATGTTGCAAGAAACTTAAATAAGAGTTGATAACTCAAAACTAGTTGAAAATTGAATTGGAAATAAGTTGGTAAGTAACTCATATAGAGGTTGGTAGTTTCATATAATAGTTGGTAAATTTAAGGTATTCGTAAGAATGGTAAATGGAAGTTTATATAAAGATAATAGATTTGTTTTTTTCTTGGAGATAAGAGAAATTGGTTATTTAAGGAAACCAAATAAGTAAGGCAAACTAAAATTGGCACTCCAATAGAAAAGTTGATAACCAAATTAAAAAAAAATAGATAAATGTTGATAAGCAACTCAAATAAGAGTTGGTAAACTAAAACTAACATAATGGTAGAAAAACTAGTAAGTTATGCAAATAAAGGTCCATAAGTTCATATAAGAGTTGATAAATTTAAAGCCTATACAAGCATGACAAATAAAAATTGGTAAACATTAACAAAAGTCCACAGATTAAAAAAGTACCGGTAACTAATTCAATTGAAAATTGGTAATGAGAAAAAAAAAACTTGGTTATTTAATCATAAAAAAGTTGTTAAATCACTCAAATAAAGATTGGTGAATTGATATAATATTTGGTAAATTTAAGAGGTTGGTGAGAATGGGAAAATAAAAGTTGGTAAAAGATAAGTTAGTACTTTGCAAACTATAAAAAAAATTTATACAAAAAAGACAACTAGTAATTTTTATAATTTCCATTAATTTTTTAACTCTTACCAACCTTCTCTAAAATCTACTAGAACGAAAAAGTCTATCTTTTTAACAAAACAGCAGAATCGTTCATTCGAGATAAGAGCATGAGATTGACCATTAATAAGTTCAATCAAATCCAAAACCTCCTTATCAGTCTATGAATAATTTTTCTTTTCCCTTCTTCCTATTATCACGTAGATTGTATAGGGTGGATAAAGTCCGAGGCCATGAAATGTCGTACCGAATCTTATAGGAGGAATTTCAAAAACATTTAAATTATTATTTGTTAATAGTTGCTAGAGTACAAAGGGCACAAAGTCCATAATATAAGGCCAATGATACTCCTTTTTTTTTCTTTAACTACACTTGAAAGACAATTAAATTAAGGTCCACAACCTCTCTCACGTGGGAAATATTATATACCTGTTTCTATTGCCCCGAGTTAATTTGAATATAAGCAACTTGTTAAGCAAGGAGAGAGCATCTTATCTACATAGCTTGCAATTTCGCACGATAACTTGTGAGCTTCTTCTTGTTATTGTAATGCCAGTCCGAGTAGATTTGATGTCATCTTGGTCAATCATGTGACATTGCTTTAAGGTTCGTCCCATGATCAAATTTCTCTTTCTCTTAACTTTATTCCCGAGCAAGATTATATAAATTGCCTATGGGATTTACAAGTGGATGTGTTAGCCTGATACGACACGGAAATGATATTCGCCGTACATAAGTTTGGTTCAAGTAACCAATCTCTATCTATTTATTTAAGATTAATACGACGAAAAACTCCAAACTGGTACACCCGTGACAAATTTACCTTTTATTAGTTTCCGTTAAATTTTATCGTTAAATTTTTGAGTTGGATGATAGGTGGCAATTGACGGGCGTACCAGTTTGTTTGCCACATGTTTATCAATTTATGATTTTTCGTGGTATTAATCCAATTTAACGGAGAGTAAATTTGTTACAAGTGTATCAGTTTGGATTTTTTGTGGTAAAAAAACTAGTTAGGGATAAATTTGTCACAGGTATATCAGTTTAGAGTTTGTCGTGGTATTAACGCATTTATTTATCTATCGATCGATCGATATGTTCTTAAGGATAGTTATGGAAATTCTGATTTCAGTGCTTTGTGGGTAGGAAAATAAAAGGGTTTGGTTGGGCCCGCCAAGGAATATGATGACTAATCAAATTTGCCAACAATGCATCATGCTTTGTCTTCTGTCACAAACACAAACTTACATGCACACTTGACTTAAAAAATGGTGCCGCACATAGAATTTGGCTGCGTGCATGTTCTCGTTCGATAAATGGACGTTCAGATTTAGCTTCATAATAAAATGGAGCTTGTATTTTGCCCATCCCTAGCGAAATTAATCCCTTATGTACTCGATCTCGACAAGCTCTCCTATGTGCAATTTCAATCGCAAAAAACAGTATAAGGACACCATAAGTGCCATAATTTTCATACGGAGTTCAATTGAGGGCTGTAACTTTTTTTTCTCGATCACTTGAGTGTCGTGACTTCTAAATAACGTTCACTTGAGTATTGTGACTTCCAATCGATCACTTCAGTGCCATCACTTTTAAAAAAACGTGCACCACAAGTGTTATGCCACGTCGAATTGCTAGCACCCGTGATGAACGTTCTTAAAAAGTTATGGCACTCAAGTAATCAATTGTAGAATTATGACACTCAAATGATCGAAAAAATATGACTTTCAAGTGGGCGTTATACGAAAATTATGATACCGGTGATGTACTTTTCCCAAAAGAAATTTTTGTCACTTTAATTTCATCAATGGATGAAAAATGGACATATCTGGTAACGAATTAATAACATGGAAAATGATTTTTCACTGGCTCCGTTTGTTTTGCAGGAAATATTTGGAAAACATTTTCCTAAAAAGGATCGCTTGTATTGCTTACAAAAATGAATGAACGAATAACATTTTCATCATCCACGAAAATATTTGGACCTAAATTGTTGTCGATAATGATATTATTTCCCTACTAAAATGAATGAACTGATAATATTTTCATCATAAGCAAAAATATCTAGACATAAATTGTTATTCATAATGAAAACATTTTCCATTGACTAATTATTTCAAGCGATATGGAAGATTCATTGTAGGAAAAATGGTTTCCAAATCATTCATTTCCCGGCCAAACGGACGGAGCCCGAATAAGTAAAATGAAGAAATAATCACCATACATAAGGTACACTAGACTTGTCTTGGATCATTAGGGTTCCTTGGACACACCACGTAACGAATGCATGAGGAATAATGGTATGTCCGAACCAACTACATATCATGATAAAGCAAGGATTGATTTGTTACTGAGGTAGGCAGCTTTAATGAACAAAATCTCTTGATTGTGTCTGAATCATGAGGAATGCCCGATGGTAATGCATGGTTTGATAGACTTGCGCCTCAAGCTTGTCCCATCCTAATATTAAACTTGTGTGCATACCTCACCACATTACATTATGACAAGCCTATAACCTATTGGCTTGCTCGATAATGCTAGTTGTTGTTCATGAAGAGGAGGGGATGAGCTTCTTGGACAAGTGATTAGGCGACGTTTCGTAGCAACCACGGTCGACTAAGAACTACCAAGACCCATTATGGATTGAACCGATGATGTTTGAAGGAATCGGGGAGAGATTTTTTGCGCCCGAGCCTCGAGAAATGACAAGGAGTAGAGCGACGCGGCGCGCGAGTTCGCCCGCCTCTTTTTTTTTCCTTTTTTTTTTTTACGGGGTCGATACCTCTGTCATTTATTTTCTAAATCTTTATACATCTCAATTGTCGTGTGGGCTCGAATTCCGCAAAAAGGAAAAGCAAAAAGGTTGAGCCAAGCCCAACATAAATTGAATGGGCCTTGATTCATGGGCTTTATCTCTTATCATGATGGGCCCCGCTTATCGTTTGCGATTGGGCTTTCGTCTGATGAAACCAGAACTCCACACGGACCAGTTTTCTGATTTATTTGTTTTCGCTCGTGGCTTTTTGGGGCCCAAATAATTTACAAAGAAATAAATCATTTTTTTTAATTTAATTTAATTCAAGCGTTCGTTTGCTTTTCAAAGAATTTTCTTGACGAGTGTTCTTCAAAGAGATGATGTTTTATCGAAGCATTTTCCTTTTAACAACCAAATCAGATTACACGGTGCAACACACGCGATCTTCCAAAAGAGAATAGTTTGTCCAAACAACCAGAAAGATGTCGAAAATACATTCAGAGGGCGGGAGGGCCTCGAAATATCACGTGCCCCTCATTTGAATAATTTACGGCACATGGAGAAGCCGCGGTATCCCTACGTACAATACATTTTGAGCAGTACGTGGTTTTCAAATGATCTCTCGACATTCATTCGGCACGTGAGCTGAGGGGGGTAGGAATGGGACGCGCTATTACAGTACTGTTGGTTTAAGACAATTGGAAGGAAGGAAATTACAGGGAGCAAAAGCCCAGAAAATCAGTAGCCCAGCCGAGCCGAGCCGGAGAGCCGGAGAGCCGGAGACAGGACGGCCATTTGGATGTGTGGATGCCGAGAGGGCATAAGATAAGATTCCAAAGTCCCACCTTTCATTTCCCTCTCTTCCTCCTTCTCCTTCCCCTCACTCTCTAACCGCCATCATCATCATCATCATCATCATCATCTTCTTCGCCACTGCACTTGAGCTGAGAGGCTCTCGAACCGGTGCAGCCCCTGTCGACTTCGCTGGGTTCTTCAATGCGTCTGTACCGAATTCGGTGAGTAGCGCCTGCTTCCCCCGCCCGCCCCGTTCTTACTGCGGAGAATCGCTTGCTTTGCTTTTTTTTTTTTCTTTTTGGCTCGGTCTCGCTCCGCGCGTTTCGTGGTTGTGTGCGGTTGCTGCTCAGTGATTGGGGATGATGAACGTGAGCTGTTGTTTTTTCTTTGTGTGTGTGTGTGTTTCGATTTGCTGCTAGAACTTGGGCGATGGATTGCGCGAGTCAGCCTTCGTTTTAATCGGAGTGCTTTTTGCTGTGAATGTTCATTGCCGTAAATTCTCTCGTGTTCTTCTGGCGGTGTTCCTGAGCTGCGTTCTCCTTTTCGGATTGTGTAGTTAGGAGAATCCTTCTTGAATTTGCAATATTTGTGCCTGACAATTTGAAGGTTTGGCTTTTTGGACGTGAATATGCGCGCGAGTGTTGAGTGTCTGTTGTTTGAATCTTCGGTGGTCGTCTAGCGTTTATGTTCGTTGGAATCAGGCCTTTGGCCATGTCGGGGAAAGCGTGTGGATAAGAGTGGAGTAGTCCAACTTAGATAACAACTTTACTCTGAGCAGATGAATGCACCACTTTGTTTGCACAACATACTCTCCAAGGAGCAGAAATCGCGTGAGAAAGGAAAAGGTGCTAATTACTCGCGTCGACTGAGCTGTGGAGTTCGTTTGCATATTTTAAGAGGTGCATGCTTCTTAAACTTAAGTTGTGGCTATGTGTCGGGTTGCTCTGTGTTGTTATGGCTTGGTCTCTTGTTTAAGTAGAAGGAGAGTTTCTATGAAATATCAATGTGAAGGGAACGCATTTTTTGATCCTCAGCTTACAGCGCGATTTTATTGCAAACATGGTCATTGTTCGAACCGTCTAATTACCGGCAGTTGTTAAATTCATATGGAGAAAACAAATAACCGTTGGTCTTTCCTTGGAAACAGTAAGCGATGATCATTTGTTGTCTATTTAGGGGAGCTAGCAGTGGAGCTTTCGTCTTCTTTGTTAAAATGCACGTGTAAGTAGTGAATAAAAAGTGTATTCCGCATGGGATAATTACTTTCAAAGGAGAAGCTAGCGTGGTTCGCTTACTCATAACTCGGTGGCGTAAGCTTAAGCGAAATTTGATGGGCGGAAATTTCACGACAAACGGAAAAGTGAAGTTTAGACCATGCGTGTTTGTCTCACATACCATCCTTGAGAAGCAGTTCATTGTCCGCAACTATGGGGGGCAAACTTTAAAACAATGGACTTGACAAGCAGATGATGTAGTAAACCATGATGGATTTTACTATGCAATGATTATGCTCTGCGAGAGGTGAAAAGAAGCTTCCACTCTTGATTTTCTCTTTCAGCACTTTCTGTGTGATGCTAACCATTTCATGGGCTTAGCGAGCATACAGTGTAATCCGCTTATGATGTTTGAATTAGGATCTAGTATACTCACTCGTCAATCTATATGTGCGAATGGGACAGGACAGCCATAAGCTAGCTTTTTGCTCCATTTAAGGTGCTGATTTATTTATAGAGTCTTTGCTTGTGAACTCAGAATATTGCTTGGAAATTCCTAAGTCTTTGGTGACTGTTTAGTGCTTCTCATCCTGGTTTCTTGTGCGTGCTACTCTTGTTGCATGTCGTTCGATCTTGATAGGTATTTGGCCAGAAAATCTCGATGTTTCTTGTTAACACATTTCATTTCTCTTCCAGGTGAAGCAAAATTAAGCAGCTATTATAGCTGCATATCGTACGAAAATTTGCATCAATCAAAGACAAAATGACTCCAGTTATCCCATCTTCTCTGAGCAATATCTCCCTTATTCCTGGAAGTGGCTTTTTGACAAGGAAGAATGTTCGATCTACCCGATGCGACATATTAGGGACATGGCCAACTTGCACCTCATTCTCACAAGGACACAGTTTGCCTCTACCATCATCCATCGTATTGTTTCCAAGATTGGGGTATGGGCTTCGTTACAAATACAGGAGTCACATATTATTTGCCACAGGAACTGATGTAGCAACAGAGGAACAAGATCCTCCTGTTGCAGAGGAAGATTCCAGTGGATCATCTGAAAGCACACCTGGTGAAGTTGAAACGAGTGAGCAAACCTCTGTCCAACCAGAATCAAGTTCAACGCCTGCTCAAGCTAGACGGTCAAGGTCCACTAGGAAAAGTGAGATGCCACCTATAAAGAATGAAGAGTTGGTTCCTGGGGCAACTTTTACTGGGAAAGTAAGATCCATACAGCCATTTGGTGCTTTTGTTGATTTTGGAGCTTTCACCGATGGCCTGGTACATGTTTCCCAGTTGAGTGACCGCTTCGTTAAGGATGTTGGAAGTATTGTCTCTGTTGGACAAGAGGTAAAGGTCAGGTTAGTTGAAGCAAATAATGAGACAGGGCGGATTTCTTTAACCATGCGTGAAAGTGATGACACTAGCAAGCCACAGCAAAGGAGAGATGCTCCTGCAAGTGGCGATAGGCCTAGACCTTCCAGAAAAAGTAATGTAGGACAGAAGAGAGATGACGCCAGGAAAAGCTCGAAGTTTGTAAAGGGGCAAGATCTTAAGGGCACAGTTAAGAATTTAACCAGGTCTGGTGCTTTTATATCTCTTCCCGAGGGAGAAGAAGGGTTTCTGCCAACATCAGAAGAATCTGATGATGGATTTGTAAGCATGATGGGAGGCTCCTCACTTGAAATAGGTCAAGAGGTTGATGTTCGAGTTTTACGGATGTCAAGAGGACAGGTTACATTGACAATGAAGAAAGAAGAAGATCTTAAGAACTTAGATGCTGAGCTTAGCCAAGGTGTTGTACATGTCGCATCAAACCCTTTTGTGCTGGCATTCCAGAACAACAAGGAAATTTCTGCATTTTTGAATGAGAGAGAAATATTGGAGAAACCAGTGGCACCAACTACTTCTGATGAAATACAAGGAAAAGTAGGCAAAAGTGAAACTGCATCAGTTACTGAAGTGCTGGGTCAACCAGCAGATGACAGTGAAACAACAGCTACAGTCCCTTCCACTGTGAATCGAGAAACTGCAGCTTCTTCAGCTGGTGTGGATTTGGGAGACATTAAAGCTGATGAGGACTCAACCAGTTCCACCCCTGATGATAAAGAATTAGAAATTGTGGCTTCGAGCTTGTCACAAAGCGTGGATGGTGCTACACAAGCGGCTGTGGAAGAAGCGGAGGTCAGTCCTGAAGCCTTGACTGCTGAAGGGAGTGAATCATCTGTCGAGTTGGTAGCTGAAAAGGCTTCTCCAACAGATGAATTGGTAGCTGCGGAGGTGGCTCCAACGGGTGAATTGGTAGTTGAGGAGGCTGCTCCAAATGATGAAATGACAAGTAATGAAGTTCCTGAATCCTCTGGGGAGACAACTAGTCAGCTCTTATCGTTAGAAAGCCCAACAGCCAACGAAGTCGCAAAGAGTGAATCAGATACTGCCATACCAAAAGAGGAAGAACAAATTGAAATTCCTAAAACTGTAGATGAAGTTGCTGATGTAGTATCTGGAAAAGGGAATGAGCTCGGAACTTCTACGGATGAAAATGGCAGCATGATTGGCTCAGATGTGCAAACAGATGATTCTTCTCCGGATGCTAAAGGTTCCTAGACACTTCTTTTCCTCACCTTTCTTGGCTTTTTAAATTACTTGTTGGAAGTTTCATTTAGTTTTTCCAGCAAAGTGGTGACTTCACAGCTACCATCCTCAAATGGCTGAAATTTTTTTGGAGGCATGCTACTCATATATCTCAATATGTCAGCGCAACTTCTCGTTCAACGGGACCCTGTATTTCCTATTTCTTTGATGTATTTTCTGGTAATGCTTCCATGTATTGCCTTTTGCGAATCATGGACACTTTTTCGTTTCTTATAGAGATATCTATTATGATACAGGTGATGTGGAAATTAGTGGAACTTCTGATGTATCCGGAGTACCTGCAGTTGATGCAATCCTGTCTTCAGACAGTCGGAGTGAAGAAGTTGAAGAGACCAAACTTGAAAGTGCAACAATTGAGCCACTTGAACCAATATCTTCAGGTGATTCTGTAGTATCTTCTGGAGCGCCAGCTGAAGATGTCACTGAGGAAAATGGCACCGTTGCTGTATCTAATGGAAATGCTAGCAGTGGTTTGCCAAATGAAAGTGGACCAAAAGGTTAACATTTTCTATATGCTGATGACATTTTTAAGTGCATTCAGTGGATGTTGATGTTAAAGATCTGTCTTTATTGCAGCCAGTATATCACCAGCTCTTGTAAAGCAGCTGCGTGAAGAAACGGGTGCAGGAATGATGGATTGCAAAAAAGCTCTCTCAGAGAGTGGAGGGGACATCGTGAAGGCTCAGGAATTCCTAAGAAAGAAAGGCTTAGCTAGCGCAGAAAAGAAGGCCAGTAGAGCAACTGCTGAAGGCAGAATTGGTTCCTATGTTCATGATAGCAGGATTGGAGTCCTAATAGAGGTGAACTGTGAGACTGATTTTGTCTCTCGGGGTGACATTTTCAAGGAACTGGTTGATGATCTAGCCATGCAAGTGGCTGCCTGCCCTCAAGTTCAGTATCTGGTGACAGAGGATGTCCCAGAAGAAATTGTCAGCAAGGAAAGGGACATTGAGATGCAAAAGGAAGATCTCTTGTCAAAGCCAGAGCAGATTAGAGCAAAAATTGTTGAAGGGAGAATCAAGAAGAGGCTTGAGGAGTTGGCATTACTGGAGCAGCCTTACATAAAGAACGACAAGATGGTAGTAAAGGACTGGGTGAAGCAGACAATTGCTACCATCGGTGAAAATATTAAAGTTAGAAGATTTGTGCGTCTCAATCTTGGAGAAGGATTGGAGAAGAAGAGCCAGGATTTTGCTGCCGAGGTCGCTGCGCAAACAACAGCAAAACCTCAAGCTCCTCCAAAGCAAGAGGAACCTGTAGCTGCCAAAGCTGAGGAAACCGTTCAAAAGTAAGTTTGTGCTTTCCCTGAGTTATTGGATACCGAAATCTCATTGATTCTTAGACTATCTATCACTTGTGAGTGATTTCTGATATTGTTGATGCTAACTTGGTCCTGTTTCTGATACTCTTGGGGCTACATTAATATGCTGCCATTTTTCTTTGGCACCATCCCTCCTTTTAGATATGATCGTGAACATGAAGATCTTAATATATGGTGCATTAGCATTTTAACTTTTCATTTCATTTAGAATTAATGACAGGCAATTTAGTGCTTCATATTTGGACCACAAGTACTTGTCTAGAAACATTTGCTACTATCTGTGTTGCTGTTCCTACCATACAAACCTGTTGTTAGCCCATGAAGTATCTGATCGATCTTACACATGCACATCTAAATGGCGACTTCCGTTTCGCAGAAATGCTCATAGAAAAACCTCAGTCTTGTGACCATCGGATGGACATATCATCCGAATCATTTAACATTGCAATTATTTCTCATCAAAAGCTTTATGAGCACAATATGCGAACTCCTTTTCACAGGCCACCGACGGTAGCAGTTTCTGCTGCACTTGTCAAGCAATTACGCGAAGAAACTGGAGCAGGAATGATGGATTGCAAGAAAGCTCTCTCTGAAACAGGAGGCAATCTTGAGAAGGCACAAGAGTACCTCAGAAAGAAGGGTCTATCCACTGCAGACAAGAAATCAAGCCGCCTTGCTGCTGAAGGCCGTATTGGTTGTTACATCCACGACGCTCGCATTGGAGTGCTAATTGAAGTCAATTCTGAGACGGACTTTGTGGGTAGAAGCGAAAAATTCAAGGAGCTGGTCGATGATCTGGCAATGCAAGTGGTAGCCTGTCCTCAGGTACAGTTTGTTTCCATTGATGAAATTCCTGAGAGCATCGTGAAGAAAGAAAAGGAGCTCGAGATGCAGAGAGAGGACCTCCAGTCGAAACCAGAGAACATTAGAGAGAAGATTGTGGAGGGACGAATTTCTAAGAGGCTCGGAGAGCTTGCTCTTCTAGAGCAACCGTTTATCAAGGACGACTCTCTATTGGTGAAGGACTTGGTCAAGCAAACCGTCGCTGCTCTCGGCGAGAATATAAAAGTCAGGAGGTTCATTAGGTTCACACTCGGGGAGACAATTGAAGATGCAAAGGCAGGAGATGAATAGAAGGTGCAGCTGAAACCAACTTTGGATGATTGGCGACACCAATTTTAGGCGAGAGAATGAGTTTTGATCTTACATATTGAGATGATATCAAAGTTTGAATTGCAATGATAATTTGTACGGTGAATCACCGCGAAAGCTTACATTTGGATTCTACATTTTGGAGACAGACCATAGAGGAGAGCTTCGTAATTCTTTTTTCAGCGTTAAATAACAGGTTGCAGAGGCGTTTTCAATTTTACTAATATCCGACAACCAGACCTAGAATTTGTTACCGTACCAGGTGTAGCAAATTTTGTCATCTCATTACTAATGGTCTTTAAATTCCTGTTCGGCTCCCGTAAGTTGGTTTCGAGAATATCCACAACAGAAATCTTCATTCCAAAATCACCTTTTCACAGAGGATGGTTTGATTTCTGAATCCTGGTGACAGTTACCCTGGCAATGAGTTGGTCATACCATTGTTTGTTAAGCAGTATACTCATGAAATAGAAACCTATCCCGATATGTCTCTATTTCCATAAAAAGACTTCCAACAAAGAGGTGAAGTCACCCAGAAACAGCCACAACTAGATTGATTTATCTGTCAGATAGATACAGGGAAGTTGTCTATGCAGTAATGAGCCCAGCAGCATCTCAGTTACATCACAAGCCATTGTACAGACACATCGTTACTTATGAGTTCTCACAAAAGCGGAAGCTTGAAAAGAAGACCATCTGCTTCAATTTCAGATTATGGCATCTTCAAATGTTTTAGCTTTTGAAGGAAGAACAGGTAATAGAGCAAAACTCCACAGAACTCGAGATTTCCGTCTCTGCACATGCTATATTTAATTTATGACTCTAGTTTAACACCGGGGTTGGAGGAATCTCAGACAACATATCGGTAAGTGACGTATCGCCCTGCCGTCTCGCTCGGCCTTATTATCTTCACAACCTGTCCTCGCTTCAGGCCATAGTAGCGCGCAATTGGATCAGTGACTTGGATACGCGGTAGCTGAACTCGATCCCCCAGAAGACAAAACAATGAGAAACAAGATGATGTAAGTATCCACTGAAATAGTAACAGGAAATACTAACAAACTCACATGCAACACTGACAATTCCCTATAAAAAACAAGAGAAGCAGGTCTGTAGAGAACAGGGCAGTAACATGAAGCAACCTCATGAGAAGTTCTTTAGACTATAAAGACTAGCAAAAAATGCCATATGGCAATGACAGTACCCTCGGAAGAGGTGAATGTCGAGTGGGATATGCCCTGCAACATTTAAATGCCTCTTGTCTGCATCAATTAATCCCTCATCTCACAAGGCTCTTCTCTACCATAACTCAAAAATGTTTGGCTAGGATTTAAACTTGAGTCCCAAAAACATTAAGCGAAAGCCATAGATACGAAGAGAGCAGATATTCTGCTCTTATTGTCGTGCCGAATTTCCCAATTAATCCATCATATAAATTCCCGTGGGTGCATACCATGCACAGGCATGCATCCCAAGAGTTGCATCCACATGAAGCACGCAAACACCAAATTCTGTCAGACACTAACCTGTGTTTCTTTCACTGTATATCTCTGCAGCAAAGTCTTCTTTTCCTCATTAGTAAGCACTTGATGCTCAGGAACGAGTACATGCTCTTTGATATTGACTAACAACTCTGCCTCCTGCACCATAGTAACATACGATACTCAATGAAACAATAGAGAAGATTGACTCAGACAACTAAACATAAATTCATGACACTGTAAAGGAAAAATGGGCTTGGAGATACGCTGCATTATGCTGCCTCAAAAAGCACTTGTCAGGATCCAACTAGACAAAAATAGTACTGTATTATGGACTAGAAGCAAGATCAACTAAACACCTACTGACACAATAAAACAGAAAGCAATTCTTTTTCATAGAATTTCAGATTCAATCATCTCAGAACCATGACAGCTTGCCAAATAAGGTGGCTTTACATCCATCATAAACCATACACGGCCAAAATGCTTGCTATATTCCACAGTTGATGGTTTTGGCAAAATTCAATACATGCAACTGATTAGCATAGCAAGAAATTAGCCTGAGGTTCAACCATACGTTCTTCAAATAGAAAGTTCAGGATGGGGCCATCATGACTTTCTCAATAAAATTCCCTCAGACTATTACACAAGCTAATGTATTCTTGCCCGTCCGTTTTATGACATCAACTGGTCATTCATTTCATGAAAGAGCATCAAGTTCCAAAAGAAATTTCCATTAGCATGCCCGATGATGTGCGGAAACCAGACTTTCAAATAAAGTGATCTTTACTTATGTGACATGCTGACATCTCCTTGCTCCCTTCGTCAAGTGATAACAAAGACAAGAAAAGGTTGTCCAATCCTTAAAATTCACATCATCTAGTGAGCACTCAATTCACGAGAACATTGGGGAGCCAAATAATAAGGGCTCAGAAATCCGTGTTAACCATCATCCAGCAATGCCCAATGGGATTAGAAAAGCTATGCAACCTATGTTTTATGCTTATGGCCAAAACCTACCTGTGTCCGTATGCAATTCGATAACAAGAACATCTTTTTTTCCCCAACATAAAACGGGCGAACGGCAGCAGAAGCAAAATCAGTTGACTCTACCTGGAAGACTTCCAAGTGGAACTTCGTTGATATCTCGCTAATACAAGTCCGAGCAAACGGAGTCAAATTCTGCTGAACCGCCAGTATCGCTCGGAACACGTTCTCCGATTTCATGCGGTTCGTGTACGTCTTCATAGTCTTCACCCCGACCTTCGCCTCTTCCGGAAAGAACACGTAAATCTACGCAAAAAAACCAAACCTTGAGATACAAGAAGCGGCCGGACAACACCCGAAAACCCATCAGCGGACCGAGCGAGGCGAGAAAATCGCCGCGGTTACCTGGTCGGAGCTATCGCTGCGCTTGGCCTTGTTGATGACGAGGTCCTCCCTCTTCATGTTCTCGCCGAACTTGTCGATGAACTGGAACCGCGTCATGTTGATCTCGTAGTCGGCGACGAGGTAGCCCCGGTCCCGGAGCATCTGCATCACCGTCTTCCGGATTCGGTGGAGGCGGGTGATCTCCTCCTCCGACAGGGCCATCCTTTCCGAAACCGCCGGCCGGGAAAGCCGGTGAGCCGCCGACCGTAAGGCGGGAGAAACCCTAATCGCCGGCTGAGCGAGGGATGTCGGAAGCTCGCGGCGCCCGCTCGCAGCTTCGAGGATGGAAGAGAGCGGAAGCAAAGACGAAGAAGACGACGCTCGGAAGTTCGGAAACGAAGAAGTGACATGGAAATTTTACAAAGGCCGCCGGAGATGGAGAGTTTGGGCCTGACAGACGAAAAGCCCAAAAGCCCATGAACCCTAGGCCCAAGAAGCCCATGAAACCATTGGCCTAGGCCCAAATTTATTGCATGCGATAATATTTCGGAGAAAATAACACAAATGGTATTTGAATTTTGGCCCGACGTGCAATAGTAGTTCCTTGAGCTTTAGCTCAATGTGCAATATCGTTTCCAAACTTTTAAGTTATTCAATGTGATCTATGGACTTTTGGTACATGCTCAATTTAGCCCTTAAACTAAATTTGTCTTTTTTTTCCTATTTAAGTAAGTTGTAAACTTATTTAACATTCATATTATATTGGGTTTTATCATTCTAGACCCATTTATGACATACTTATTGAATATAACTAATCCATATAATAATCCAGCCCATTAAATATAAGTTAAGAATTGGTCTATAATCTATTTTGATGGATCTAATCTTGATTGAAATTGAGATTTTGATTAACCAACTTTTATTTTTATTTTTATGCAGGGTGATCAAGATAGGTCTCACTTCTATCCTGGAATTATGAATTACGTTCTTTTTTTATTTTTGCACATTCCGATCAATACCGAATAGAACCGACTAATTTACGGTATGATCCTCCTTCACATAACGTGATGCGATTAACAAGTTACATTGGGCTCTTTTTGTATTAATCGTATTAGACTATATCTTGTTGCTATACATTTTATTTTTCGACGCGATTAACAAGTCAAAATTATTTCTTCTTCAACTCCCGAACAGTCATTTAGTCCATCCCTTATCCTCCGACCAATAAGTCGAATCTCTCTCTAATCATATCTTATAATTTATCAAAAACCCATTGCCGAATTTGCTCCTTCATTCATTCCCAATGTTACGCAATTGGAACATTTGGCAATTGTAGCGTTCTACCTCAACGTCTCTTCGGCTCTTTACCGCGCCACACGCGCACATACACCCTCTCTAATTATCTCCGACCCCGATAGCAAGAGCGGCCCTCGCTCAGATATGCAATTAGGGCATGACACTCGCCTAGATTCGAGGCAAGAGCCAGTGGCCTTGTCCGTCGGCAGGGGCGAGGGTCCATGGCCCTGGTCGCGGCACTCGGCTGCCAAGCCTTGTATGCTCGCGCATGCATCTCTGTACGTGGGTAAGGCCACAGCTAAGGCGAGCTCAATCAATGCCGAGAGTCGCTCAACTTTCAACTCTTACTGATGGTTTGGGAGCCGCCTCGTCGCTTGCCCCCCACCCTTTTTTGGAAAATAAACTTTTACCCTCGAAGAGTTACGATTATTGTGCACGGTAACAGAAAATATAAAATTTATGGTTGGGACATAAATAAATGTTTGAAAAAATATATTATGTAATAATTAATGACATATTGTCATTAAATAAGGGTTAATATTGCGAAAAACCTCAAATTGATATATTTATGACAATTTTACCCATAAATAATTTTTTGACCACAAAAAATCCAAAACTGATATATTAGTGATAAATTCACCCAAAACTAATATTTTGACCACTAAAAACCCAAAACTGATATATTTGTGACAAATTTACCTTTTGTTAGTTTTCGTTAAATTGAATTTATATCACAAAAAGTCACAAATTGCTATACCTGTGACAAACAGAGGTTAAAACATAAAAGTGGCACATAAGACAGTTGTCGCGTGTCATTTAACAAAGTAATTCGACGGTAAAATTTAACGGAAATAAACTGAGTGTAAATTTATCACAGGTATACCATTTTGAAATTTTTTATAATCAAAAAATTAATTTAAAATAAAATTATTATAAATATATCAGTTTATGAATTTTCGTTATATTAATCCTTGCTTTTCAAAAGGCAGTGTTGCGAAATTATATCGCGATGACTTTCCCACTCGGAGGGCAGACCCTTCTCCCCAAAGACTTCCATGGAGCGGGCACGACGAATCCCCTCATCATCGAAACTCCTCCCGATCGGCCACGTGTGAGTTTCTCCACGTGGCATCTCCTCATTGGTCAGACCCTCCCTCTCCTTTCCAAGTGGCCTGCCCCAACTATATATATATACACATATATTACACGCACCCTCTGTCCCTCGCCCGCCCGTTGCGTTTACTCAAGAAAAAAAAATTTGAAGGACGCGAGCACAAAAACCAGAAAAAAAAATTTTTTTTCCTCCTTCTGGTGAATGCAGTTCATGCTCAACTGGTTCGATTCTGAAATTTCTTTGCCCCAATTTTATCTTGTCAATTTCCTTCTCCTCGATCTCGATTCAGTTAATCGCGCGAAAAAAAATCTGATTTTTGTCGAAGCAATTTCCATCGAAGCGACGATAGCTGAATCTCAGTTTCTTTTTTTTAACTGCTGGTCGGTTTCGACAGAGGGAAGCTGAGAGAGTTCTGCCGCAGCAGCTCGGGGATCGGAAGATGAAGCGGGCGGTGCCGATCGGTTCCGGGTCGTGCTCCTCCTTCGCCGCCCTCCTCCTCCTCCTCCTCCTCCTCTCGCTGGCCCCCGCCCCCGCTCGATCCGCCGTCTCCAGCGTGGATCTGGGGTCGGAATGGGTCAAGGTCGCCGTCGTCAACATCAGGCCCGGCCAGAGCCCGATCACCGTCGCCATCAACGAGATGTCGAAGCGGAAGTCGCCCGCCCTCGTGGCGTTCCAGCCCGGGGCGCGGCTGCTCGGCGAGGAGGCCGCGGGCCTGGTCGCCCGGTACCCGGACAAGGTGTTCTCCCAGGTCAGGGACCTGCTGGGGAAGCCCCTCGATCACGCCAGGAGGGTCTTGGGCTCGATGTACTTGCCGTTTGGCGCGGTGGAGGATTCGAGAGGGGCGGTGAGCTTTAGGATTGACGGCGGCGGGGAGGCGGGGACTGATTATTCGGTCGAGGAATTGTTGGCTATGATCCTGGGTTATGCGGCTAGATTGGCCGAGTTCCATTCCAAAGTGCCGGTAAAGGATGCGGTGATTTCGGTGCCGCCTTACTTTGGGCAGGCGGAGCGCAAGGGGTTGCTCCAGGCAGCTCAGTTGGCGGGAATCAATGTCCTGTCGTTGGTGCACGAACACTCCGGCGCAGCATTGCAGTATGGAATCGATAAGGATTTCTCCAATGGCTCGAGGAATGTTATATTCTATGATATGGGGTCTAGCAGTACTTATGCAGCATTGGTGTATTTCTCAGCTTACAATACTAAGGAATTTGGGAAGACGGTTTCGGTCAACCAGTTTCAGGTAAAAATGACTTGTCTATAGCGGTCTAGCTTAATTTAACTCGCAGGACGGACCGTATGCATATGTTTGCCTATTCTACTGATGCCTTAACTGAGCTGCTATTTATGGTATCTGTCAGCAAACTTACATTACTAATAGAATGGCGAAGAAAATACCTGGAAAAGGTTAGAATGTCTGGCTGGGTTAAGAAGGGTACAATTTGTGAAATCTGAAGGTGGAATGTAGGAAGAGCTTGCATGGAATGGGAAGACATATGAAGATGCCACTTGACGGAAATCTGTGCTTCCTAGGAAATCTAGATAAACATGCTCTGGGAATGTTGACAATGAGTGATGCATTTGGGCAGCAGAAGATTTGATAGATTTGAAGTTGCACTAAGGCATTTGTCTGTGTGCGCGCGCAATCTATAATAATTCTGTAGAAAAGAAGGAACCTGCTCGTAACGAGAAATTAATGGCTCGACTGTGGGGGTCTGTTTCTTGTCCAAATGCTGACCACAGACCTTACGACTGGATATCTTGTGTTTGTGTTTCTAGGACGAAAAGTTTTGGGACATCATTTTGTTTAATGATTAATAAGTTTCCATTAAGAAGGTACTCAGTGCCGATGCATCTCTTGGATGTCACCCATATTGTTTTGTCTACATTGCTTAGGCTTTCCAAGTACATATCTTTATGGTCGGCACTTTTCTGTCATTGCTAGTTCTTGTGAGTAATGTAGCTTTATGCCTACCAGAATTAAGCATATCGTCTCACTCATATTCGTGTTCACTAACTCTTGCTAGCAGTTGGGATCTCTCTCTCTCTCTCTCTCTCTCACCACACATGCACGCACGCACACTCTTTTTAACACACTCACTTCATTCACCGTGTGCAGTATATAGTTTTCTCTTCCTGAGTATGATTACAACACTCAAGGTGCCTGCAGGTTAAGGATGTTAGATGGAACCCTGAACTTGGAGGTCAAAATATGGAATTAAGGCTGGTGGAGTACTTCGCAGATGAATTCAACAAACAAGTTGGAAATGGGGTTGATGTGCGAAAATACCCCAAGGCAATGGCTAAATTGAAAAAGCAGGTCAAACGCACAAAGGAAATATTGAGTGCAAACACAGCGGCTCCAATATCAGTTGAATCCTTGTATGATGATCGGGACTTCAGGTTAGTGAATCATTAATCACATAAACTTTTGTATACAAAATGTTGTCCACATGCGTGAGGTTTCCACAGTTCGCATTTCCTATCAATCATTACATGTCTTCACGGATGAGAAAATTGCGTGCCTTTCATTTTTCCAGTATGAGTTGTTTTCTATTGTACACATAAATTATAACTTTTCAAAGTAGGAGATTGGAAAATAAGCAAAAAATGTCGAACTAAAAGCCGGTCTTTCGCCATTGCTTTTCTTTCTACTGCCTTTCACTCTTGAGAGAGCTGCAAGCTCTTTTTCGATAATTTTATTAAGATCCATCTCCAGTGCTAATTAACTGAAATAACATTCTGTATATCCTCTTTTTTACTGTAGTCACAGCAGTGTTAGGTTCTTTGCACACGGTATCTGGAAATTTAGGAGCTACACAGAGTAGTGCTCGTTAGAATATAGCCCTTTCAAATTGCAATATGGTATTTGTTGTGATTTACAATACAAATGTTCCAACTGTGCCATATAGCAATAGCCAAAGTATGAGCGACAATTTAACGAGATAAGATTTTAGATTATCACTGACCTTTGTACAGTACATCCTGGACCATTATAATTGTAACAATGGCAACCGAGCCTTTGCTTTTTAATGGGATTGGCGACATGTATCCTTTTAGGCCATCACACTGTGGCATATGCCATATCCTACTTATTATCTTAATGCTTGAGATCTTTCTTCAAGATAATCACCCTTGTCTTTTTCGGCCTTGTACCCTATTGTATAAACTTGTGAAATGATGATATATAAGTTGAATTTGTAATTTATTATCTATCCAATACATTCCTACAGAGCCTAATATGTAACTATGAAGAAGTCACAGTAAATCAGTATGAAAGAAAAAAAAGAATGTTCGTTGTGTACCAAAAACCGAAGATAAAATGAGTCTCTTCTATGTACTACCAGCTTGACAACTGGCGGGCCTTCTCCTTATTCCGGCTTCACAATATGAATGAATGGAACTTCTGTTGGGAAGAGCACCATCAGATGCTAGTTTATTCTATGTAGTTCAAGCTAAAGTAGACTGGGTCATTGTCTGAATATGATTAATTTTATTAAAGCTGGAGATGCGTACATTTAGACTGAAACACTAATACACAAAATGTTTTTCCTTCAGGAGTACTATTACTCGTGAGAAGTTTGAAGAGCTCTGTGCAGATTTGTGGGAGAAAGCTCTTGTACCAGTGAGAGAAGTCCTTGAGAACTCTGGTGTGAAGGCAGATGAAATTTATGCGGTGGAGTTGATAGGAGGTGCCACTAGAGTGCCGAAGTTGCAGGTTTGTTCTTTCTTTCTCAGGCAAACATATGTTATCATTTTTTTTTTTGGTAAGGTAACATATGTTATCATTTTTGTTCTTTGATTTCATGAATTTTCTAGAGCTGTTGCGATGATATGCTAATTGCAGTAATCCAGACTCAATAAAAATGGAGTAATAATTTGGCTTTGAGATTCAGCTGTGGGAGCTCTCTAAATTCTAGTAATTTACACTTCCAGTGACCCAATGATAGTGCCTGAGGATTGGTGTGTGATTTCTAATGCATATATGAAATAGATGCTCTCTTGCCTCCTGCAAATGTTGTGTATTAAGACAAAACATTTATGATATGATTATGTTCCAGTAGGTAATATTGAATTGTAATTTTTTTCATTTGGACAGTTTACGGATGGACCGAGTTTGTAGCTCACTGTTTGTTTCAGCATCAATCTCACTTGTGAGGATGCTAGAATAACAGCTGTAGGTACATTAATATTGTATGAACTGTAGAAGCTTTTCCCTCCTCCCACACCTTACCTCACAAAAGTAAGGAAAGAAAAAGAAAACATCAGATTAAAATCTCTCCTGTTAGTGTTTATGGTCTCACTTTAAAGATACACTACGTTATTTGCTATGTGTAACATTTCTGCTTAAACTGTATGGAACATTTTCGCTCCTATCCCATGCACCTAGTCAAAAGAAAGAAGAAACATTACACTTCACGACTCCACGGCAATGTCTCACCTCAGTTGTATATAGAAAATAATAAATCTAGGCCCCTTTGTTTCACGCTTTTTTAAGCAAGTTGTTACTTGATGATTATCCGCCAAAACTCTAGTTCTTTTTTTAGTTTTAAAACTACGAAAAAACTATAGATGATTCTATACGATAATATTTGTACAGTAAAGATATCTGGCGCTTCGTATTAAATTGTGGCGTATCAAGCTATAATAGTGAAAAGTAGAACTTACTCCAAATAGAAGGTTTGTGCATCAGTAGAATTTACACCAAGTAGGGTCTTAATCCGTGGATGACTATATGGTAGATGACAAAATGCATGCTTGTTTCATGTTACTTAAATATCAGAGGGAATCCTTATTTTTGTCTTTGATCAGTATACCAATTTCATTCAGCTGATTATAGCTTTGCTTTTAAGTTTGGATTAATCGTCTGCTATTCTTGCTTTAGTTCAAAGAGGATGATTTTGATGAGGATTGCTTCTTGACTCACAACAGGCTACACTGCAAGAATTTCTTGGAAGGAAAGAGCTAGATAAACATCTGGATGCTGATGAAGCTGTAGTTCTTGGTGCAGCATTATATGCCGCCAATTTAAGTGATGGAATCAAGTTGAATAGGAAGCTAGGGATGATTGATGGTTCTCCTTATGGGTATGTTGTTGAATTAGAAGGTCCTGATCTTGTTAAAGACAACAACACAAGGCAGTTACTTGTGCCCCGGATGAAAAAGCTTCCCAGTAAGGTATATCAAATATCGAAACTTTCTCTGAGGGAAGTGATGATGATAAAGATTTACCTAAGATCCAGCTTATTATAGATTATTTGTCACTTGCTTATTATCATTGTTATCTGACAGATGTATAGATCGATTGCTCACAACAAAGATTTTGAGGTTTCACTTGCTTACGAGAGTAAAGATCTTTTACCTCCTGGTGCTATCTCTCCTGTGTTTGCTCAATATGCAGTGTCTGGACTTGCAGATGCATTTGAGAAGTAAGAGTTATAGATAATTCTTGATATGGTGCTATCTCTAAAAATCTCTGCAGCAAACTTGACCCCCATAAACTAGTTTCAATAAACTCTGACATGGTTGCATTAATTGTTAATATTTTTGCCAGATATTCAGGTAGAAACCTGTCTTCACCAATAAAAGCAAATCTGCATTTCTCTCTTAGTAGAAGTGGGGTACTCTCGTTGGATCGGGCTGAAGCTGTTGTTGAAATATCGGAGTGGGTTGAAGTTCCTAAAAAGAAGCCGACCTTGGAAAACTCCACTAATGCTTCCCAGAATGCATCAGTTGAATCTGGTTCTAACGACACTGCTGAAGAAAGCATGGAGAACACACCGCTTGATGATGGTGGAAATAACAAAACTACCTCTAGTGAAGTAGAACAAGGGTCTGCAGATTTGGGTATGGAAAAAAAATTGAAAAAGCGTACGTACAGGGTTCCACTGAAGGTAAAAAGAATGTTTCTGCACTTAGAACATATCTGCTAATACAATTGTTTCGTGATACTTCCTTTGCATGGCTTATTTTTAGCATTATTCAGTCATAATTTTGCTTGGTTCCAGATAAGTGACAAGACATTGGGACCTGGGATATCTCTGCCTGAAGAATCTTTTCTTGAAGCAAAGAACAAACTAGAATTACTTGACAAGAAGGATGCAGAGAGAAGAAGAACTGCCGAGTTGAAGAACAATTTGGAAGGGTACATATATGCCACAAAAGAAAAAGTAAGAATCTTGATTTTGGAAGTTTGAATGATCTATGGATAATTATGTCTCTTTCTCTCCAAACCCATCAAGATGCTTATAGTCGACTGCTTCTGTTCATAGTTTGAGAGTTAATTATCTGATCTCTCGTATCTCTGGATTTGGTCTGATATTGTTTTGGTGGAGGACATTGTTGACTTTCAAATTATCTTCAATTCCATATTACCAAGGTGTTTTGCTTCTTTGTCTGCATTTGTGTCTTTCCTTGACTTGCCCTATTGTCCGTTATGCTAACTACTGTTGCTAATGTTTTTGCCTCTGGTTGCTCACAGATTGAGACATCTGAGGAACTTGAAAAGGTCTCTACTGATGATGAACGCCAATCTTTCATTGCAAAGCTTGATGAGGTTATCCTCTCCCTCCCTCCCTCTCTCCCTCTGTCTCTCTCTCTTTCATCCCCAATAGCTTAGACAAATACAACGTAATCTGGCATTTAGTTAGCTATTTGGCTATTGTTTTAGGTGCAAGATTGGCTTTACATGGATGGTGAAGATGGTACTGCAACAGAGTTTCAGGAACGTCTGAATTCACTAAAAGCAATTGGTGATCCAATTTTTTTCAGGTTGGTTTTATCTTCAGAGGAGATGATGGCTTTTGACTGAGGGAATATCTGGATCAGTTCTCTTTCAGTTGTCATATTCTTATTTAGCTTGCAATATACTCTTTAACCACTAGATTTTGGTCCTTTTAGATTGAAAGAAGTAACAGAACGGCCGGCGGCTGTTGGGCATGCTCGAAGTTACCTGGATCAATTGCAAAAGGTATCTATAAAAAATGGTTACTGTGAATTGAAAGTAGATGGCACTGCTATTGGAAATAATTTTCGTCCTTTTATTTTCTATTTCCCAATATTAATCTTGAGAACTATTTAGTCAAGCCTATACTTGTCCAGTATCCAAATACAATGATTGGCAAGAACGAGCTTGTTTGTCCCTTCAAGAACAAGCTTATTTGTCCAGTATTCAAGCCTATATTTCTATTTGCCCAATAGGTTGTTGACTCTAATATCTACTTTTAGCTTATTGTATACCCTCCTTCGTAAATGATCTCTCTCGTCGCTGCCTCCTTGTAATTTGTTTTGAAGTTCTTTTGGTTTTCTATTGCTGTCACCGAGGTCATGGCAATTCTTATGTGTTGGTGCATTTTCCTTTCGTTCTTAGAAATTAAAGAGTGATTGTCCATTTGACTTCTTACATGCTCACTCTACATGTAATATCGACAAGCTTAATTAGGTTTGGAAGTGTCAGTTTGGCAACACGTGTGGACTGTTAATCGACAGCATTAGGCATGTTGAAATAGCTCTTATTTGCCTGAGGACTCTATGCATTTTTGTTTCTTTATTCTCGCTCCCCATGGCATCTGGTAGATTTATGGATTTGTGGCTGAATCTATCAAAGTGATGTGAATCAACATAAGCTATAGCTTAACAAAATCTCGTGTTCTTTAAAGATAAACTTTGAAGAATAGATGCATATGTGTGCTGCTGGTTTAAACATTACATCAGTAGGAGGGATGGTTTTCAATGGTGGTTACTGTATTGTGGAGTGACTTGCTGAACTCTACTCTTGTTCATTGAATTTGAACGTTTATTTTTTTGCAAATTGATGCACTTTGGGCATTTTATGACCAATTTTCCAGTTAAAATCCTATGTAGCTGCCTATGGTACTGTTGGTGATGACATGTCCGAGGCAGCCACTTTGGAACTTTCTTTGAAAATAAATGGAAGTAGGACGTATTGCATCAGTTACAAGGAAGCAAAAGTTGTGTACTGGATGAATTTAATCAAAGTTCAATGGTCCAAAGTGCAAGTTACTCGAAAGTTCTGTAACCAGCTATGAAACCTCAACACAAGATGTCTTGCTATGATCGCTTTTTAAGCTTTTAGCATTTCTTAAGTCTTAAATAATATTTTACACAAAGGGATTTTCAATTGGTGATAAAAGCGTCTTTGTCTATGGCTTTTGTGGGTTATAGAACCGGCAAATTTTATTGCTGAAAATTTTTAACTGTACCAATTCTTTGAGCAAATGTATTGCCTCTTGAACAATACTATAATATGGAATTGCTTGAACCACCTGTTCTGAAACTTAATTTACTTTTTTCGTTGTGTGCCAGTGAAGTCTTTAACTGATCCTGCTGTCTGACAGGATCTTACAATTTGACTCAATTTAGTTCCGAATTCATGGTTTTTTTCAGGCCCTAACTGATGCATGGAACAACTGAAATAATACAAGTTTCCTGGGACTGCAGTAAATTATAATTTTGTGTTTGGGGCTTATACATGATTAAATATTACAAGTACATTAAAACCTATAATTTTTTTTGGCAATAAGAAGTAGTTGAAGAGTATAAGAGGCAATTCCAATTTTGTTGAAACTCTCGCGTTAGGCAGTTGGAATATTAGGATGAGTTAATATCTAGAAAGTTAAGGCAAGCTGTTTTACTGTGCTGAATCTCTGAGGGATGAAGAAAGGAGCCTCTTTTCCTTTTAGAAACAGTATAGGCATATCAAAATACATTGCCGACGGTTCCACTTGCATTTTCTCTCCAGTCTCCACCATCTTTAACTTCTTGCGTTATCTTTTGCCGCCCATGGTTTTCAGTGGGCTTTGTACAGAATCGTAAGTCCCATTTATGGTTAGAACCAACCTCAATAGTTCACAAAACAGCAATTTATTGTAACATTGATTTTTTTCTGCATCTTTGTATTGCTATGCTATTGACTGCTTGTATATAATGTAATGTGTATTGCCACCCTTACGTTGCTTTTTTGGTTCTCAGATTGTACAGGATTGGGAAACCAAAAAATCCTGGCTTCCTAGAGAGAGAATCGATGAGGTTCGTTATCATCTCATATCTTCTTAGGACTGTCTACAGGTTATTTTGATTATTTCAAATGAGCTTCTTCTGAAGGCAAATATAAGTGTCTATCCTACAGGTTCTAAAAGAGGCGAACAGTTTAAAGATTTGGTTGGATGAGAAGGAGACTGAACAGAAGTGAGTTTCATCCTAATTTTGTCTTTTCAACTTGGGTTTTTCACCTCAGTTCGTTTTTTAATCACCTAGTCTGTGGTCCACCTGATATTTGCTGCAATGAAATGAGCCACCTTTTTATGTTGGGGATTATGTTTATATGAGAGAAAGCCCTGTGACAGTTGGTCCAATAAGAAATTTCTTTCATCTTGTGGGGTCGCTCTTCACATCACATTTAACTGGGGTTCCTTTCCTGCTCACGCCTCTAGGTTGTAGGATACACACCCTTGATGTTTTCTGTCAATTCTAGTTCCCCCTATCCTTTAAGTATGGTTCAAAGAAGTATTACAGCCAGTACAGCAAGTGACTTAGTATATTTTCTGCTATATGATCCTGTTTCTTTTGCTATCATCGATCTTGTAGGACTGCTGGGTTTTTAAAACCTGCATTTACATCTGAAGAAGTATATACGAAGGTTTTTAAATTGCAAGATAAGGTACTCTTGTCCCTCTGTTTCCACATTTTTAATGTACTAGTGTAACTATGTCAGACCTACTAGGTGTATTGATTCTCTGCTGATATTTGTCTAGGTTGCAACTGTAAATAGAATTCCGAAGCCAAAGCCTAAAATAGAGAAGCCTACGGAGAATAAACTTGAGAGCACAGATTCATCCGATGCAGCTTCTGAGGAAGCACCCTCTGCAGACGACCAGCCAACACAGGCTACAGATGGCACTGCCGAAGAAGAAGCTGAACAGGAAAGCGTGGGTGAGCCAGAATCGAAGCTTCATGACGAGTTGTGATGACTCAGCATGGAAGCCATTTTTGTCATTGCACGACACAGAAGAGTGTTAGAGGACAAGGGAGGATAGGAAGATTCGAAGGAAGAATTACTTAAAGTAAAACTTACTATTAAGACTAAAAGAAGGGCCTGCTTATTCTTGATGATGAATTGAGATGCACGTATAGCATCAGGAACTCAGCTTCCCGTCTGGTTCGCATTAGTGGTAGAAACTTTATTCCCTGAAGGGAATCGCCAATCAATTTCGTTTTTCTGCAATTTTGTAGTAACTAATTATAGATGCTTACAGGATAGTCCAGGGGAGAATTTAGTCCGAGTCTGATACGGATCTTGTACCATTGAGTATAGTTATAGCCTCGCGATACTGTCAGTTTCTATATATGCACGAGATTTACCTCTAGTTTCTCGTTGTTTGTATCGTGCATCGGTGTGACTGGCCAACTGGTCATGTCTAACCATTCACTGATGAACTGCCTTCCATTCCCGATATCTAGTGTCGATTATCGATACGATGACTATGGCGTTTGTGCGTCACTTCCTATGTGTGACATTCTTGAGCTGAGAAGGTGGAGAGCTGTATGAGTTGATATCAAGTTTTAGTTGTCATAGTGTTGTTGCTATGGTCTCGAATCCTGTCAGTTCTTTCTGATAATAGATAAGGAAACGCTGTCGTTCGATTCCTCAGTTCTGATAATATATTATTACCTGAACACTATTTCAGCGTCGGCAATTCAAACACGACCAAAGCAACAGAAAGGTCTGAAAGGTTGCTATTAGCATTACATAAAGTAAGCGGGAAAAGCGGAAGTGAAGAGGCAGAAGGTTCCACACGCTTTATAGCATTATGCTTCTTTTGTAAGTTTCTTATATTGTCGGCAACTCCGCTGCGGTTTTGAAAGACCAACTATTCATTCTTGGTATAGCGATTCGGCCATTGGAGTTGCTTACGATCATAGGTGCCGCTCCAAAAACAAAAGAAAGAACGTCAAGAGCGGAGCGGTTATCGTGCATAAGCGACATGACAACATCGAAATGAAAATAGTCTTCTTAGAAGAGATAAAGAGAGTAATGACTTCAAACTAGCCTTAAGTTTCTTGAAGTTGAATTCTAGAACCAACAAAGGAAGTGATCCCTCCTCTCTCTTGCTTTGCTTGTAGCATATCAGAGGATGAGAACTTCCTCTTTCACTCAGGCTATTGAAGAAAAAGCTTTGAAAACTCATAAGTAAAAGCCCCATATGGGTCATAAATTAGAAAGATTAGATGAGGCGACCAAAAGTTTGCCTCCACCGACAGGTTATTACGACCATAGGTGCTCGGTTACTTGCTAGAAAGTAGGGGTGTGCAAAGGAATTGGAATCGCTTGGAACCAGATCAGAACCGACATCCGACAATTCCCATGGGAATCAATCGTTTCAAAGATTAGATCAAGGAAATTATACTCTATGCTTGGGATTATGTAATGATTTCAACAAATTTAAGATCTTAAGATTCAAATTTCGGAGAAGTTTTCTCTTGCCATTGTTTTTTTGAAACGAATATTCTGAATTTGTACGGGTTTAGATTTCAATAGTCATACTCCGATTTAGACAACGTTAACTCTTTTTTTTTCTACATGTTAATCTAAGGTAAGATCGACCTCTTTGAGGTAATAACTTCTCATAAGTCTCTTAATTGTATTAATATAACCTTATCAACGAGTAAGAATGAGACTCTATGATGCATAAATTTGGTCATAACCGTTAAAATTGCACATAATTTCTTTTCTTTATCTTGATCCCTCTCTTTTTCTGCCCCTTAAGTTCATCACATTAATGATTCAGTATTTTTTTTTCCTTTAAGCATGATTAACGATGGTGTTTCGGGACTTCAATCATGTTGATTTGAAAAGTATAATCCTTGTCTAATCATCTTTATCGCAATCTTACATCTCTCACTTTCCACGTTTAATATATGCAACAAATTTTCCAAAAGTCAAAAGATAATAAAGAAAACAACATTAAGTTATGTTATTCACGAAATAGGCCTTCAAGAATCTCAAGTAAAACGATTTCCGATACCAAATTTGTCCTAGAAAGGCACCTATCAATAGAGTTATTTTCCATGTTTACTATACAAAAAAAATCTCCAAAAGTCAAAAGATAATAAAGAAAACAACATTGAGTTCTGATATTCACGAAATAGGCCCCTTTCGGCAAAGATTGGTCCTTCGAGATTCGTATGTACAATGATATCCAGTGCCAAATTTGTCCTAGAAAAGCACCTATCAATAGAGTTATTTCTTGTCTTGATCAACCTTTTGGATTGAATTGAGGCAGTAGGGTCAACCAATTTGCGACCAATCTTTTGCTAATTTAATAATATTTCTCGTGGTACGAAAAGAAGATGGTCGAAGATAAATTGTCAAAAAGGAGTGAACAGGATGTCTTTCTGATGGGAGTATGATTGACGTGTGTTTGTTAACCTCTTATTCGGATTAGACTAATGAAAACTACTTAAAGATGATCCCTTTTGGTCGACTTAGTCTTCAAGTACAAGAAGGGGACAAAATTAATTTGATTGAGTCTAGCAAGATGCCATTTAAACGTATTTAACTTAGGCAGCTTGAAGTCACAGGTTCTATGGTCTACTCAAGTTTCACATGTATTCTTAATTGAACGATTGCAGTAAATCATTACTTCTAATGACTATCATTTGCTGTTATAATCCACTTATCACAACTTATATATAAACACACAAAGAATATGAAACATTTACAAAGTAAAAGTCTCAATCATAGATATAACCGAAAATGAAAGCTCATATTAGCGATTTCAAATTATACATTAATCATCGGACTTCATGGAATAGCGTAGGATTGTGTGAAGACATAGAATAAGATAAACACAAAGACTTGTTCTAGGTTATAGATTCCGGGTTTCGGAACTTGGAATCTGACTGTCAGAACTAATTCCCCAATTTTTGGATCATACAATCTATTTTGCATACCTTGAAACCTGAAACGGACCACTTTCCATCGGTCCAGTTCCTGGTTCTACCCTGGAAACATACTTACCCCTAATTCATACTTAACCTAAGTTGTTTTAGGGCAACTGAAGGAAGAGATATGAAATTTTAGAAGCTAGATCGTCAATGATACTATCGATAATACTCTAGAGATCGTAGTAATTAATTGCAGATTGGAGTGATCTTCTTCTTGATTAGACTTGATGTGTTGCATGCACAATATTGCACAAAAAGAGTACATAGCAACTGGCAACTATTCATACAAAGCAAATACAAAAATAAAAAAAATTAGATATATAACGGGAAAATTATCCAATCGATCATAAGTATATTGTACGGATATCAATTCATTTTAAACTTATCAATTTTGCTAATTTAGTCATAAATCTTGGCGCGATATTCTGTGAAAATTGACTAGAACATCTATATTGGAATTTTGTACAAATTTTTGGGACTAAATTGGTAAAATTGAAAAGTTTATAATTGAATTAGCATTCGTACTATAGGTTTATAACTGATTGAACAATTTCCCCAAGATATAACTATAGGAGTTGCTAACATATATTAACTAAATCGATGTAGCTAGCCCTAAGAGAAATAATAAGTGATGACACTGAATTAATTTTTGTCGAACTATTTAAATATTAAACAATGTTTTCATTTAAGAGGTTAATCATTTAGAACATCGGCAATACTCTCAGAGAATTTTCACAACTTCTGCTTGTAAGTATGACCAATTCAACACTCCTTGGGAGTTGAGATTTTTCCAACTACGTCTTTCATGTCAAGCAGGCTAATTTTGGATGCTTGCACTTGCTATCATTAGCTTGATTTTGTCTTAAGCATGATGTTACCTTTGCGTCGGACGACCCTAATCATGTTGATTTTATCGATAACTAATCGTAACTTTAAAGTAGAACAAACAAGGACTAAATCCAATAATGAAGTGACCCCATCCATATGCTGAAATACATCACTCACTCATTAACTTCGTGATTAAATCTTGAAATGGGAACTAAGTTTACAGCATTCGCGATAAAGTTCTCTCCTGATTCAAAACCTGTGACATATAGTTGTTCGTTTGTTATCGCAAAAACATCACGCATCGGCGTGTCTGTCTCCATGTCAAATTATAGCCATCAAAGTACTCATCGTACAATCATTTAACGATAAACTTACCAAATTTCCCAAAACAATTAATCGGCAAGGTTAGCATAGGGGATTACAGGTGCATTTGTTTAACTGCAAACTTCACGACAAAAGATAATATTTTCCGCAGAAACCATTTTCAATGAAAATGGTCACTTTTCAATTATTTGGTGGTTTAGGGAAAGTGATTTCCTTCGTGTCAGAAGGGAAAGTTGTTTTTTCCCAATCTAAGCCTGTTATTTTCAGTCCGTTGATCGATTAATTTTTCATCGTCCAAATATCGAAAAATTAAAAAATAATTTTTCGAAAATAGTTTTCTTTTAAACCGACGGACCCTTAGTTTAAGTGTACAATGATCATAGGACCTAAAAAGAACCTCCTTAGGAAGAGCAACAGATATGGTCATGAATCATGATTACATGACATGATCACTGCTGGAAATTTGTCTCCCCCCCCCCCCCCCCGCGTTTGTAGCAAGCGTAGGATGAGGGCTTAGTGGGACTCTGCTTCCACCACCTAACCGTGGAGACGGAGGTCAACCAAATGTCATAGAGACAGAGAGATGAGATTGAGAGAATCAGTGTCACTTTCAGATTCGGTGAAACAGATAATTCTCTAATTGGGCAGCCTTAAATTAATGGCTAGAGTTTGTCCAATTCATCTTCACTTTTGTTTGACAAATCGATTTTTACTAGAACAAAGTTGTCGGAGAAGAGCAGGTTGGAGGGGGGTCAGGCTTCTTCTTCTTCTTCTTCTTCTTCTTTCGCATTAGATTGTTTTAATTAGAAGTTTTATTTGGAGGGTTTGTATTCAAACATCACCCCTGGCCATTTTGATTCTCCAAAAAGCATGGCATCTCCTTTCATTTGGGTCAGAAAGAAAAAGAGGAAAATGACATGATCTCTAAACTTTTTATTTGTTCAATGTTGTCCATGAACGTTAATCCAATGTACAATATCCTCCCTGAACATTTAAATTGTTCAATGTGGTCTCTAGACTTTTGGTACGTGTTCAATTTGATCTCTAAACTAGATGAAAATATTCAATATTGTCTTCCAGGGATTACATTGCACATTAAAGTAAAGGTCATGGACCATATTGAACTAATTAAAAGTTCATGGATGACACTGCACATTGAATCAATGTTCATGAACCATTTATGTCATTATCCAAAAAAAAAAAAGTCATTCCACAACATCTGGACGCGTGACATGTAAATGAACTCCATATGCTTCAGCTACAATGGATT